AGTTAGCCAATGCTCGCTCATACGCTTCCTCTGTGGTAGCCTGTAGGATCTTCCGCCACTTACCATTCACCAATCTCTCTGCCATTTCCAAATTCTTCTTGAAAAGGTTGTAGGCTTTCACTTTCACGCAGTTGTTGATGTGCCATGTGCACAATAAGTGGTTCGATTCGGGAAACAGCTCTGCTATGGGGGCAAAGAGACCTCCCTCACAGTCGCTGACGATGGCTGCTGGATGAACATTAGGCCCGATGTAGTTTCTCAGCTTCTCCAAAACCCAATAATAACTTGGAGCCGTCTCATCCCTGATGATTGCATGACCAATCAGAAAGTTCTGGTTCGTTGGAGCCATCCCAACCATCTCAACCAGAGGGAACTTGTACTTGTTTGTCTTGTACGTTGAGTCGATCAAAATCACAAATGGCCAAGACTTGATCATATCAGCACAATCAGGATGCACAAGAAAAAGATGAGTCACCTCCGCTGTATCTTCATCAGAATCAAACCAGAACAGGTAACCACGTGATTGTGCCTGGTGTAGCAGCTGCTGTATAGGGTTCCTTCCCTCTGACCGTTCAAACCTGAGTTGCTGTCTGACGTTGTAGATGTGTCTTCGGTTTGGATGGTCTTCTGGAAATTTCTCTAACACAGATGCTAATATTTTAGCAGGCTTCACTTGAGCATCACTCATTTCTTTCACAACTAGTTTCGCAGCAGGACTTAAGCCGCTCAGTTGTCGATGACCCTCTTCATATACTATCATCTCATGGTTGTGATACCCCCATTTAGAGTAACCTATCACTTCCCAACCGTCACGACTCCGTAGTTGTCGAACCTTTACTCTGAACTCACACCCACAACCTTTCCGCTTTGTGTCAAACCGAGTGGCTGTACGAAAATCTCTTTCTTCTCTTTTGCGATAACGGTCACATCTCAAAATGCGATCCATTCTACCATCCCGTTGAGATTTATGAGTTGCTACTACCAAGCAAAATCCAGCTGCAATTGCAACCTGTTTTGCCCAATCAATCGCCTGTTGAGCTTCTTCGAATGGACCATCATGTCCAAATATCTCACTGTAATCATTTCCGTCTCCACCATATTCCTGCATCAATTATATATTACAATAAATACATTTAACGGATAATACATTTAATTTCTATATTTCCACATAATTAACACAAAAAAAAACATAATTATATATAATCAAACTTAATTTTTATAAAAACCCAATTCGAATTTTCAAACTAAATTTAAAAATATACCATTTCGAATTTTCAAATTTAATTTTAAAAAAACCTATTTCGAATTTTCAAATTTAATTTACAAAAAACCCATTTCGAATTTTTTTAAAAAATCATTTTCGATTTTTTATTTTCACAAAAAAATTAAATAAAAAACAACAACAAAATCAAAAAGGAAAAAATAAAAATTAATTATTAAAGGTGGCGTCTGCCAGGGCTGCCACACCCACTGGACTGGCGCCTGGCAGGGCCGCCTCACCCAGTGGAGTGGCGTCTGCCCAGGACGCCAGTCTGGTGGTCTGGGCGTCTGGGCTGGACGCCACTCTGGTGGTCTGGGCGTCTAGCTTGGACGCCACTCTGGTGGTTCTGGCGTCCGGCTTGGACGTCCAGGCTACGGTTTGGGCGTCCACCCTAGGCGCCGTAGCCACTACGACGGTAAACCGTGAATTTTAGCGGTCACTTACCTCGTTTTCCGTCGACGACGACGTACCTCCGGCGTCCCCCGCATCTCCGGCCTGCCATCCGGTCTCCCCCGACGAGCCAATACGGCTCCACATTTTTTACACCGAGATTATCTCAATTTTAGCAAAAGGGCATAATGGTCAAATCATAACATATTTGTGGGCTTTATATGGTAAATTGCGGACGATGTTTAGCGTTTCACAAATTTTAAGGTAGAGGAGGATGTAAATTACCAATCCAGCCTTTCAATATTTTAATAAAAAAAAACATCTAGTTTTTCAATCTTTACTCTGAATTTTTTGTTCCGTAATTGAAGGAGTTTCATAATTATCTCTCATTTTAATAGGATCTCAATTTAGATATTTGTATACTTCTCCATATATTCAACTATTTGAATTTTTTAAAGAGAGAAATTCCAGAGTTCGAAACGATCACACACTGTGCATTTAGAGTTTCGTCATGATTTTAATCCTTAGTTGTTTTCTGAATAGAGTGACTGAGAATGATGAAGGTAAATTTGAGGATTTCTTAACTAAAGGAGTTTAGGAGAAGGTAATTTTGGATGAAATTTTGTATTTATTTTTTATAGTTGATCGTTGTTTACTAAGGTAATCGTTGTTTTTTTTTGTATATCTCTTATGTTCTTATGTTTTATCCCTAATGTACGTTTTTCTAAATCTTTGTTCTTTTTGTTAATCTTGTATGTGATCGCCGATGTTCTTTGAATTTTGCCCTTATAATCTTTGAGGTATTAAACAATACATAATTCATGTTTTAACATATGTTATTCTTAAATTAGTTTTTAGCATCATTAACTAAGGGCTTAGTAAGTTGTTGAATAACAAGCCCTTTGTAAACCCTTACTAAATAACTCATAAGAAAAACAATGTCAAATAACTCCTAAGTAAATTGTCGAATAACTCCCAAGTAAATTGTCGAATAACTCCTAAGAATCATTATATTTTTAGAGCAACTGTGCTTAGTTATTCGATAAGTTACTAAGGGCTTGTTTGACTTTTTTTTTTTTTTTTTTTTTAGTTTTTTGTTTTAAAAAAAAACAAATAAAATACCAAAAACATGAAACAAGAAATTAAAAAGTTGTTTCCACTTTCTATTGTTAGTTTTCAAAATTATCAGATTTAAATTCATTATATGACATATATCATACAATTTTGAAAAATAAAAAATCAAAAAACAGATAACCATAATGATGCCAAACAGATTTTGGGATAGGAACTTTATCTTTTAAAATCTCTTATTAAGTTTAGCCTGACCTCTTCTGTTGCTCAAGATGATTATAAGCCGATTATCAGTATAAAGCACATACTATAGTTTGGTCAAATTAAGTAGATAATCAAATCAAATTAAATCAGACCAAATCATATCAATTAAGATCATATTAGATCAAATCAGATCCAATTAGATTAGATAAGAAAAACTAAGGTGAACTAAACAAGCTAAGCCCCTTAATAAAGTGTCAGGCACACACAACATTAAAAGTCCTGCTTGGCAACCATAGCTTTAGAAGTTTCACTTGGTAGTCTAGTGCTAGTTCAAGTGTTGTGCAGCCAATTATATAAAGATTTTATTTTGAATATCAAAATGATTCGGAATTTATGGAGAGCGCAACATCCGACACAACTTTGAGAGTTGTGCACGTCAGTCATGTGCAACTAAACTTGAGAGTTGTTTTTACATCTTCAGCAACAATTGGTGGTTAAGTATTGGCGCATAGCTGCTATTTACATGGTAAGTAAAGAGCATGAATAAGACAAAAGAGTGGTGAAAAATGTTTTTCTGGTGGTACAAATAAGTATATAAATTATCTTCAGATATTGTACCAGTGTTAGGTATAATGGCTATAAATAGTACTACCTATACTCTATAATAGAATAAATTCACTTGCATCGAATAGAGTTATACAAACTAAAATATATACATTGAGGGAAGCTAAGAAAGGAAACTAACAAAAGATATGTACAGGAAATTAGGAGAGAATAAAATAAGAAATGCTGATTGATATCAATCCCTTGATTGGTGGCAAGATCAATGGGATTGATATAGTTTATGCCTTAATATACTATAGTAATACAAAATACATATATAATAGTACATTAAAAATACTACTGTAACGATAAAAAATTACAAAAATTATGTGAATTTACCAGTTAGCCTTCCTACATACATCCCAAATAAATAGCATCTATGCGCCTAATTGCACTCGCAGATGGTTATTTAAACTAAACGTCTTTAATTCTGTCATTAATATAGTCTTAATGTGTGTCTAAGTACGCTTTCCGTCATTAGTTGTATGGTGCGCGCTCACGCCCATGTTAACCGCGCTTGCGCAAGGTAGGCGCGACCGCGATGAAAGCACGCCTAAAAGCGCGCACCATTCTGGATCAAAATCAGCATTTTGGAAGAATGTGGGTGGCGCACCCGCGCTGCAAGCCGCGATAAAACCGCGCCCCTCTCTAACTTGAAGCTAGCATTCGCAGGATTTTGGGAGGCGCGCCCGCGCTGCTTCCCAATTCTGCAGTTTTTGCTGACGGTTATTTTTCTTATTAAAGAGATCTTTTGCGAGAGATCAGAAAAGTACAGAACATTCATAATCTTTCTCTCCCTAAGTATTCTCCACAACTTTCTTTGAAAAATCTTGCAAAATTCAAGAAATTTAGCCAAATTTGTGAATTGTTCATTGTATTTTCGATTCTAGTGCTAAGAACGAAATTTGCTGTCAATTGTATCTCAAAGAGGATTTCCGGTTAAACCCAAGCACCGTGTGGGGGAAATAAACCTCTTTAGGAAAGTGTATACACGCCTTTGACAGTGTATCAAGGTTCAAGTCTTACGGGACATCATTATTCTCATGTTCATGTTGGTCGTTGTCGGCTTGGAGGAAAGACAAGTTTGATCATCTTTACACTAGTGTTATCTTTGTGAATTTCTGTAATTTCTTAGATTGTGTTGTATTTGATTTTTTACAATTTGTCTTGTAATCATTCACTTTAGGTTTTGTACCCACACATATTTTAAGTGTTTTCTTCCATAGAAATCACTGTAATCCTAACATTAGCTAGGCATCTCTCCCTCTCATCTTCAACAATCTTTATTTTTGTACCCAATTTGCATGATTTTGGACTTAATTTAAAAGGGTCACATTCAAAGCTCCATAATTACTAAATCAAAGTTCACCTCAAAGCATTACGAAAAAGGGCTTAATATGCAGACAATTCTTGGACTTTGCATAACACAACAAGCCATCGAAAAGGCTCTTCTCTTGGTTTCAAAGACCATTACAAGCTCTAATTTGAAAATGGAGTCAATATTGAGATTTCCGTGATACTCATAATAAAAAATTTACAGTGACGACTCTTTTCAAAACCATTTTCAAAACCCTAAGCAAAGCGCACCAAAAGCAAGAGAACATCCCAAGGCGTAGGAAAAGGCCTTTTTATTATTCAGGATTATGAAGCCTTACCTTGTCTGTACGCATTACATTAGGCTTTGGATTCGGATTTTCAATCAACAACAATTTAGTTAGTCTTCTTAGGGTTGATGGTCATGCTGACATCAATTACATTTGGGTCATTAAATAAGCTATTAGGGGAATCCTTTCAACAATGCAGTATTCACAAGCCGGATAAACAATGGGTTCACCAAGATCACCAAATTTCGGCAGATGCGGCTCAACATTTACTATGCTTTTCTATTAAATATGTTATTTTCTTAAACCTTTTATAAAAAAAAAAAAAAATATAATGCATGTAATTCCATACTCATTATACATTAAAATCATGTAGTGAAACACCTCCTAAATCGAGGTGCATTTAGTTTCTTTTGCTTAGTTTCTTTTTTCCAAACTCTGCATATATCTTCTGCAATTTTTACGGCATCCAAAGAAGCACCAGCAAGCCCTCTCCTTGTAAATCCAACTGCATAAAGTCCACTCTTTCCTTTCCATGCATTTGGAAATGGAGATTTTGGCATTCCATTCTTATTAAAGAATTCACCATCCTGTTATCCAAATTATTAGGAACTTTGTTTAGTAAATTAATCGATTATCTTTTCACAACTCAAAGAAGAAAAAAACTAAAAAAATTATGGTGAAGTAATTAATACTCTCTCCTTACCTAAATGATGTACCTATTTAATTTAAGATACTTAGGAGATAGAATGGAGGGATTACATAATACTCTTGAAAGTATGGGAATATTATATATAAGTAATGATATTTTGGTTATATATGTGTATTTTACTATGTATATGGGAACTGTTAAAAAGCATTTAATAACACGGAAATCTATGGATGTGCAAGAGAATTTATAATTGAAAGGTAAAAAAGTTATCTGAATTATGATAGACCGAATTATTTGTATGTTTGGAGTACAGGCATATTATTTATGGACATCTTCTGATGTATAAATTACAACTAATGGTTAAAGGAGAGTGTATAGATGATGTAAACTCAAAATAGGTCAGCTGAAAGAGAATGGATAAAATATAACGTCTAACTAACCTGAAGCCAAGAAGGAACATTGCTATGATACCCTGTAGCTAGAATGACTGAATCAACCTCCATTGCCACACCATTAACGAGCTCGACGCTGTTTGCGTAGAAACTCTTGATTCCAGGCACAACTTTGATGTCCCCAGATCGAATTTTAGCCAAGGCACCTATGTCTAACACAGGGCTCTTTCCATGCTCGTTCTTTAGTTCAAGTGGTCCAGTTTTAGGCCTTTTGAGCCCGTACTTCTCCACGTTACCAAGTATAAGCCAGGCGAAAAATATCAATATTTTGTCTACCAACCAAAGAGGAATCCATCTCATTAGAAACATTGCAAGCTCGAATGTCGATTTTCTCATAATTTCTCTAGGAAGGATATGAACCTGATACGATAAAATGTGTACAATTTATTAGAAAAATATGTAAAATAAGGAGTTTAAAGTCAGAAGGCGATATATTTAACTAAAAATTGACATACCACTTAAAAAAAATTTAAACACTTATCTAAAAAATTCTCACATTTTTAATAAAAAAGTATTGCAATTTTTTGGTGGAGGAAGTATTATACTTTATAGAGTACTTATTTATAATTTATATGCATCTTTAGTTACTTTTATTATCATGGTACTTTTGTAGTGTAAAGTTAGCTTTTACACCGAATTGTTTATGCTATTAGTAATATGGAACATATATGGTGGTCGAAAAGTTAGCTTTCACTTACCGAGTTACGGCACACCATAGAAGGTTGTGCATTATGGTTTGCGAGGTCTAGGGAGACCTCCATGCCCGAGTTCCCGCACCCGACCACTAGTACCTTTTGGCCACGGAACGATTCGCCTGTCTTGTACTCGCTCGAGTGGATCACCTTCCCGCCAAAGTGGGCTAGCCCGTCAATATCAGGGACCACACACTCAGCATTTTCTCCGGTGGCCACCACGAGCCACCGGCACAAGTACTCAACCTCGGGCCCATCTGGGCCCTCAGCATGGCCCGTAGTCTTGACCCGCCAAAGCCCAAACGCGTTTTCATACCTGGCAGACTGAACGCTCGTGTTGAATTCGGGCTCGATTCCGAAGTGCTTTGCGTAGGACTCAAGGTAGGTAATAAACTGGCTCTTGGTAGGGTACTCTGGATAAGACTCAGGAAAGGGCATTTTGGGCAATTGACAAAAATTCTTAGGAAGGTGTAGTTTGACCCTATCATATGTACGTTTTTGCCAAAGAGAAGCAATGCAATTAGCTCTATCTAGGACTACAAAGGGCACCCCTTGCTCTTTTAGACACGCCCCTACGGCTAAACCTGATGGCCCGGCCCCAACAATTACCGGCCCGTTTACCCACTCGCATCGGCGGGCTACGAGATCTTCTTCATTGTGGGAGGACGTTAGCTTGAACATTTTATGAAAATTGGTGGTACTAAACTTGCTTGTGTGTTTAATTTACAAGGAATAATACAATGTTTGAGTATTTTTCTTGCTGTTGCAGTTGTAATGAGATTGATGGGGAAAGCAGTTTATGTTTATAACTTATATAGTACTAAAAAAAGGTATAATTCTTGTTACACTAATAATATAGTACAAACTTTACAGGGTATAATAATATGTATGCTTTAGCTTTAATAAAGTGTAATAACCTTCGTAATAGTAGTTTGAAACAAGTCAACAGATCATATTATCACTAAACATGAAAATAAAGTCGCAGCCACGGCCTTTATATGGGCTAAACGCTGCAATTAACGACGATTGAAATCTAATGGAGTATTTTAAGCTAATTAACTACTCAGATTCTTCCATAACAAACACAATTCCATTACTGATTAATTATGTATGTAGTGTAAGCATTTGTAGCTTCTAGGATTCTTCCATAACATACACAAACTTTTTCACCTTTTATTCTAACTTATACGAGTACTTTCTTTGTTGTTTACTAATTGTATGAATGTTCATTTTGGGAAGTTTTAATCTTACTAGGGTGGCTAACCCGCGAGATTTGCGTGCTATAGTCAGCCATATATGGGGAGCTCTTTTAGTTTGATCTTGTGTTACAACTTTAGCTATTGGTAGCATTTATTAATGTTCACAGACTATTCTTAAAAGTAAAAAAAAAAATAAAAAAATAAAAAATTAATTAATGAGGGTTAATAATTAAATAAACATTTTAGAGGTAATAAAAAGTTCTTAAAAAATAGACATTTAACATTAATATGGGTCAATAAGTAAATAAAAAATTCTGAGGATAGATATAACTGTCCAAACACTATTTTTAAGTGTATTGGATGTGTTTGAGTGTATTGGATGTGTATACAATATATGTTGTTTTTATAAATGAGGATGGTTCCTCTATTTATAGAGAAGGAGATCAATCCCCTTCTAGGGCTTTGGTGACACGTGTCAGCAAGCTATTGGGACACATGTCGCGTTAATAGTGGTCCGCTTTTAGGAGTATTTTTTACCCCCAAACATTAGCCCCTCGGAAGGAGTAATCTCACTTTTAAGAGGGATTGCTTCTTTCGAAAACGAGACCGCTTGAGCCTCTTTGGTCGGCATTTGTCTAGTTCAATTGGGGAGAAATTTGATTTACTTGGAAAATTTGATACCTTGAATGGTATGACATATTCCGAGTTAATAAAATCATAATAATAATTGCTGCTGAACTAGACAAATGTCGACGATTATTGCTTTTAGCCCCACTATGTTGATAGCCCCAGCCTAGGCGGACTGTCGACCATCAAGTGGGGGTTTGCACGAAATTTATCTGGCTGTAGGCCTTTATTTGATCATTTAGGCCATTGGCCATTGTTTGATCATTCGAGTGCATAACCGTTTGGGGTGCTTTGAGCAACGCTGGTTATGGCATGACCAAGATTTCATGTGCCTGTTGTACTGTCTTGCAGCGAAGAACCGGTTGTATCTTGGTTACAATGGATCATTCAAACAGCCGTGAGTTATCTTTAACTTTAGCCGGTTAAAGCTGTTTGAGTTATGACCGCTAGAACAATGTACCACCCGGAAGGGAGATGTTCTCTGCGACGAATTCACCCGAATGGGCGTCGTCGGACGCCTGCTGGAGCAGACGTATTGTTTTATTTTTGGATCATCCGGCCGTTGGAATTTGCTTGATCACTCCAGCCATTGGCTTCAATAGGATCATTCGGCCATTGGCCTTCGCTTGATCGCTAGAATAATGTTCCACCCGGAAGGGAGGTGTTCTCTGCGACGAATTCACCCGTATGGGCGTCGCTGGACACCTGTTGGAGCAGACGGATTATTTTAATTTTTGCGGCCTGCGCATTGCACAGGCGGTGGTTCTACTTAAGCCTGCTCAACATACTTTTTAGACCTCTTCCGATCGGTATGTTGCCTTTAAGGGAGACTTCTGATGGAGGATGCCAATATGCTCGACGACATTGAAAGGCCTCCTGCTAACTCATGATAACAAGCCTTTCAAAGGGTGACAGGCGGCCATGAGGCGACGTGCATCGGAGCTCAAGAAACGAATTTGCTCTCAGATCATACAGACGGCTCTCCATTGAGATGCCTCCTGCCTTAGACAATACTTAGTGTCGGGGGCTACATCAGGCAGTCTTTCTATCATGCCGCTTGGGGTAGTTTCAAATTCAAGTGCTAGGGGGCTGTCAACCCATATACATGCAGCAAGGCTCCAAGCAACATACACTCGGAAAAAGAACAAGAATTTGTTGAGGTACCCAGGCATTATTCTGAAGTCTTACTTGATGATACCCCAGGCGGTTAATTTGAGTAGCTAGACTTCCACCCATATAAACAACCGATTTTATTAAAGTATGCTCATGCCGCTGTAGCGTCCGACCACATGCGGTTGGAAAGGTGAGACTCAAGCGACCTTCATCCAACCCTTCCTTGGTTCGGCTTGGTGAATACTTGTGCTGGCAACCCATATAAGAGAACACTTATACAGGATGCAAGATGCATACAGAAGGCAGGGCTTCACTGGAGGCAAGATGCATACAGAAGGCAGGGCTTCACAGGAGGCAAGCCTTCAAACCCTACCAACGCAAAGGAGTGTCCAGCCCCACACTCGGCCATTGCCATTTCCCATGGCACCTCATAAGGTTACATTGACCCTTATATATACGGCCAATCTATTTGCTTCGAAGCGATGTTTTACTCGGAGGCCGCCTTATGATGAGACCGACTGTTTCAAGTTCCAGCTTCAAAGACTTGTAATAATAACATGAGGGGTCGCCTGTTCATTAATCTTTGTACCCTCAGCCGGTTTCCATGGTGTGACAGGAGTGTCACCCAACCGGTAAGCTTATTGCTCAGGCTTCATACATACAAGAGGTTTAGCAAGGATGTACCCATTACCGGCGTTAATATCGTAATGCATACATGCACCTTTCATCCGGAGATTTCAAGGCTCATCTACTTGATGATACCCCAGACGGTTTTTTTTTTTATTTTTATATTTATTTTTATTTAATGATGTTGATAAATCATTATTATAATCAAACCATTATATCAATCAATAACAATGATTTGATAAATCATTATTTTATTCTAACCATTATATAATCAATATAATGATTTGATTTATTCTAATCAAGCCACTATATAAATAATGATTTGATTAATCATTATTATTATCAAGAAGCCATTATGCATGATCATGCTAATTCACGCATGGGTTGAGAATGCCACTTGAACCTTGGAGCTTTTTATGCATATGCAAATATATGCTAACACTGGTTTACTCACGAACTTGTTGAGAATTATAATAAGACATTGCTCATGCAAATACAACCTGTTTGCTCCTTCGTGGCCACTTGGCCTACACACAGCCGGCTAATGTTAATCATGGCTGCTTTGAAAAAACACCCACAGCTGGTCTTGGCCTTTGAATCCAACACCCACAGCCGGGCTTGCTTTGGTGCCGCTTGTATGGTTAGAGTTCGCCAGACACTTAGCTTGCTAGGAGCATTATTTTGCTCAAGCACTCACAACCGGCTTAGCTTGAGCGTACCTACAACCGGATTGATCAATTCGACACTCGGATTGATCATGACGAGTGGTTTTGGTTTTGTACACAGCCGGGCTTAATCGTTCGACACTCACACCCACAACCGTTTTCATACACAGCCGGAGGTGGAGGCTAGCTGCCTGGCTTATTGTCGCCTGGTCAGCTGCTGGATGGCTACGGCCTTGCATTACATTCTTGTAAGCGCCGGCTGAGTCTATAAACTCAAAAAGGGTGGCTCTTTATAGGGCCACTGCATGCGTTCGAGGTAATATGTAATTTAGCTCGTCTTCATTCGTATATACACAGCCGTCAATTATGACGGATGCGTGGTGGTTGTGATGGTGCCGCTTGTATATGCTGCCCTTCACATCCACTTGTGAGTTTGCTGGTGGTATTCGAAGCATGCATTCACACAACCGAGTTCTTGTTGCTGGGCATACAGGCGGTCTTTTCTACAAGTAGCACAGCCGGCTAACCCATGCGTGGTAGTGCCGCTTGCCTAGGTGAAGCTGGCCAGGCGCTTGCCCTGTTAGGAGCGTCACATTGCCTACACTCACAGCCGGGTCTTTGAGACCTCTTCTATGATAACCACAATAATGCCGGCTGCTCTTCACAATGTGAACTGGCTTGCCCATCCGGCATTCAAGAAGCTCCTCATGCTAGCAAACTCACAAAAGCTCACATAAGCACAGCCGACTATGATGTTGCAGCCGGATGTATCACAAGCTCGCTGTTGGGCTGAACCTTACTCATGCCACTAAGTGCGGGTTGTGTATGCGAGGAGGGATCTGCTGGCTGCTCAATATGGCTTAACAGCCGGTAAAAAACCGAGATACTCATGCTGCTTAACCCATATACACGCACCCGGAGGAGGTGGCTGGCTGCCTGGCTCGAATTGAGCAATTTGCCGCTTGCGTGTGCATGGAACAACAAGCATGTTGCAAGCATGCTTGGGCTTCCGCATGATCATGCTAATTTCAATCAAATGCCGGCTGACACTATCGAAATCTCATGGCAGCAGCGTAACATGATCAAGAGCTGCATACACAGCCGTTTGCGATGCCTTGAACCGTTTGTATGCTTAGCTTGTTAGGTGCATCAAATTACTCAAGTTTTGATGATGCCCATTCGTATGAGTCCCAACCAGACTTCTAAGCAAGTACATACAACCGGGGGTGAATTCGCTTTGCTCATAATAATCAGCTGGGTTTAGATGGCACAGCTCATGCGTGAAGAATGCGCCTGACCCCTTTGCTATTAAGAGCTCAAAAATCCACTCATGGCCGATATGCACAGCCGGGGTAGTGCTTAGTGCTGGCTACTTGCTTGGTGTTTTCTCATGCTAGCCCCCGCTTGACCCTATTGATAAGAGCATAGCGTAGCAACAACTCTTTAACACTCAGTCATGCCTCTTCATGCGGGGTGTGTTACATGGGGTTGTTCATGCATGGCTGCCATGCATTACTCATGTAATGCGTATAAATGTGTACATGGGGT